TGTGGTATGATGGAGGAACTCACTGAGTTTCGTGCTTACGGTTTTTTTCAATTTTGGTTTGAGGTACTTCTTCTTCAAAAGGAAAGGAGCCGGCATGATCACTTCGCATCACACTATGATTTTCCGCATGACGAGATCGTTGTGAGTTGTACTATGATATTATCTTTTTATGACATGTTTCGATAATTGACACACTGGTTTGATTATGATATGAGATGACACTATCAATGTTTTCAGATTACTGGTCTTTATAATTACTTATTTAAAAATGAAATTTTTGACCTTAAATTTTGGAATGGTACAAAAATATAACGAATATATGTCATATCATATTTTTAGCCGGTCAATTTTCTTAAAAATTTACAATTTAGCTTTATTTGAAACGTTAGTTATAATATAATAGTTTTTCTGAACATAAAAATAATATAATAGTTTTTTTTTCTACGTGTAGATGTATAATTAATTATGTTTTTCTATATATATCCCTAAAATAAATATAAAATCACTAAGTTAATTTAGACATTATTTTAGAAAAGTCATGTCTACTTGTAACACCAAATAAACTAATTCAAAAAAAAAAAAATCAAATTTTTCTAAAACTAAATATGACCAATTTGATCAAATAATAAAGGTCGGCTTTTAAGAATGGGAGAATTTCATATATGCCCTTCTTAAACATCAAAATATCATATTTACCCAACTTAATTTCTAAATATCATATTTACCCTTCATAAAATTTATAAATATCATATTTACCCTTCATAAAATTTTAAAATATCATATATGTCCTTTTTAAACATCAAAATATCATATATGCCCTTCTTAAATATCAAAATATCATATATGTACTTTTTAAACATCAAAATATCAATGGTAATATTTAAAATATCCTCCATCGACAATATGATAATAATCAACAACAACAAAAACTAAACAATCAAAATATACATTCTATAGAGAGGGTTGAAGATGAATCTTTTTGTTTGTCAAGAGGACGACATACCAACAATTTAGAAGTTCAAATTTCATTATCAAAGACGTAAGGATAATATGGTTAAAATTTTGAATTATTATAATAATTCTAAGGTATAAAAAATGATTATAAAATATTAAAAACATTATAAAAAAGGATTTGGGTAAATATGATATTTTGAAGGTTTATAAAGGGTAAATATGATATTGAAAAATTAAGCTGGGCAAATATGATATTTTGAAGTTTAAGAGGGGCGTATATGAAATTCTCTTTTTAAGGATGATCCGGCTGAAAACCTGTTTAGATACCACGGGTTCAACCTTGGGTTATCCTGGAGCCTGGAGGGTTAACCGAATGATTTCATGTTCTTCAAAGAACCAACCTTCATAAATCACGCGATTCCTGGGAAATCATGGAGGTAAAAGCATCATCTCCCACCGATATTGTTATCGAGGAATTCAACAAGACAAAGAAAGACTGGGACGATGGGTATGTTCAAACCCTAGACCACATTCACGCCATCGAAAACTACGGGAAATCAAGATCCACCGCCACCGGTGACGTCGCCAAGAAAGATTCTTTGCCCAGATTGAACGGCCTTGCTCAAGACGGACTCTCTTTGCTGACTACGGCACAATTCAATCTTGATCTTTTGGTCCCTCAACTTCCTACAGATGATCATATTCAAAATGCCCGAATGTTGCTTCTCTCATGGAGCAAACAAATTCAAAGGTACGAACACCCAATTCTTAATCCATATCAAAGTCTAGATAATTTTCAATCCAAATCGAAATACCCAATTCTTGTTTTTTCTTATTTAGTCTGCGATCAAGTTTGAGACATGCTAATCTGCAAGCAAAATCTAACATGAGGAAAGCTGCGAAAGAGGAGGTACATTACAATTCCATTCCATCCATATATCTTTCCTTTTCTTCAATAATGGTGATTAAGTAATTGCATCATTTGGGGTAACTAAATGCATAAAAGCCCAAAGTTATACATACATTAGCTCAATAACCTGTAGATCAACTTAAAGGCTTATAAATGTGATCTTATATTTATCATATTTGGTATCAGAGGGAGCTTCTCTTGGGTGGTGGAGAAGAGTCAACAGTTAGAAGGCGTAATTTACAGTATGTATTACCATAAATTTCTTCAATGTTTATAATACTCCAATTTCTTTCTCTATATTCCTTATGTTAATATTGTTAAAATCAGTATACATTTACTTAAGATACACTAAAAGTAGTATATTTTACAATCAGGACAAAAGCTGGAATGACATCAGCAGCAGAAAGCATTACAGAAAGCCTTCGAAGGACTCGACAACTAATGGTTCAGGTTTGTTTCTCTTAAACCCTAATTTCATGCCCCATTTGTTACTCATGATATGACATAACAAATTATACTGTGTTTGATATGTATTGGACTGGGACCCACATTGTTGTCAATGAGACAAAAATTGTAACTTTTGTCTCTGTCCCACTCAAGAAGGTGGGGTAGAGACTTACTATCGATGTCTTGTCTATGCAAAAGACATGAATGTGCTTCTCATCCTCATCAACTATGATACATGATATCTCTTTCTTACTTGTTAATGTATTTACAGGAGGTTGAACGAAGTGGAAACACACTCATGGCTTTTGGTTTGTCCTTTCATCTTAATCTTTCCATTTCCTACTTGTAAAAAATGTTTTGTTAGAATATAAGGGTAAAATGGTCATTTAGTATCATTCATTCAAATAGTTTCTTCAAGTCTATAAAAGAAACAAACCTTATGTATATATACAACACTTTATCCACACAAACATCATTACCCATTTAGCCACTTTACCCTAAGGTTCAAAAAAAAGAAACAACCCCTTATTTTAAAATTATAATGGTGTTGATAATTTTAAATAAAAATTTATTTTTGTTTAGTACAGAGGAATCAACAGGAGTGTTAAAGAAAGCAGAAAGTGAATACAAAGGTCATCGATCACTACTAATGAGAACACGTAACTTGCTTTCAACAATGAAACGCCAAGATGTTATTGATAGGTTAAACAAAATCAATCTTATATCATTTCCTTTTCAAGATTAATCTTTAAAAATAATGTTTTTAAGGTTGAATATTATGTGTGCAGGGTTATAGGTGTTGTGGGAGTAGTGATTTTCTTGTTGGTTGTTCTTTATGTTGTTTCAAAGAGAGTTGGAATACTAAAGTTGAAAAACATGGTTCTTGCTTCTGTAAAAGCTGCTATGGCTAATAAAGCGGAAATTGTTGAGAGGGCAGATGTAGGTGGTGCTATAAACCACATGGGTCGGGTCAATGAGCATGTGGGCCCGAATGTTGACTTTAACTTGGAACAACCGATGATGCATGATGAACTTTGAATATTTAAATTGCATATATTTTTGTTGCTCTTTTGTTTATGATATGAGATTTTGACTTTTTTGGGGTCAAACACATTAATTTTTTTTAGTTTGGTTATGTATAGATTGTTATGTTTTTTTTTTTCTTTTTCTATTTTGTTATAATTTTTCGATTTTGAAATTGATATGCTGATTATCGACTCTATGAAGTAATTCTTGGCAAGTTTCTTGAACTGTTTTTACTACTACAACTGGAAAAGCTTGTTGGCTTCAAAATAGTAATGAATATTTACATTTTTTTAATCTATAATAGCAACATACTTGCATTGTTTTACCAATAAGAACAATATATAAAGATAACATCCAATTCAAAAATGCACAACCGCAGTTCGTTAGTTAGCATATGACATGAGAGCAGATAAATGGTACGAGTATTAGAGGATGTCCGAGTGCACCACACAGTAAACTATGTTAAAGTTTGCAAAAAGCTATTACTTTGATTTACAGGGAACGATATTTGCATAAACCGACGATCAATGATGTCCACCAATTATACACGATGGATGAAAATAGGCATGGGTTTCCAGGAATGCTAGGTAGCATCGATTGTATGCATTGGTTGTGGGCATTGTGCCCCAACACATAGCGGGGTCAATACGTGAAAGGCGATCATAGAGAACCGACGATTGTTCTAGAAGCAATCACATCACATGATCTTTTCTTTGGATATGACATGCATTCTTTAGTCAAGCTGGTGCAAAAGACATCAATGTTCTCGATTAGTCGTTGGTATTCAACGACAACTACCTTGAAAAGTCGCACAGTGTACGTTCGAAGCAAATGAGATGGCATATAAGCACGACAAGTACTACATGTCGGGGCACGATCATATTAAGTGAAAAGGTTGCAACACGTAATATACATGTGCATCATATTACATAACATGATTCTGGAAGATGAAGAAAGAGCGATATGCAGATACGACGCAAACGAAGTTTTGTCAAACGCTGAAGGAGTAGGTGTTGGTACGCACACAAAAATATAGGGAAAATAGAAGAGAAGTACATGATCGCGACATTTATCACTCCCTTTATGCGGATTTGGTGGAACACATTTACAGGGCCACATACAACCTGATACAGAGTATTGACACGATGATTTGTTTGACGAATCAGAAGAAGATTCGGATATATTTGTCGACGACTCAGACAAAGATCCGGTTGACAAGGACGATGATTCGGAGTGACAGTTTATTAATAATGGTTTATTATTTTTAATTATGTTTTTTCTAGGTTTTATTATGTAATTTTTATTTTTAAGTAATGAAATATTTCTATTTTAATTGATTTTGGGTTTATTAATCATTTTTAATTAATTTTATTTATTTTTTGAATTATAAACTTTAAAGTTATATTATTTTTATTTTTAAAAAAGTAAAAATGAAAGGTGACCATTTCCGGGGTGCGGCTTCAGCTCCTTTCACCCTCCCCGCACAGTATACCCTCTGGCCTAATAGTAACAATATGTAATTTGAAACTTACAAGATTACAAACATTAGGTTACATGATATTGTTGTTATCAATAAAGATATGTAAGTTGCTATTATTTGTAAAGAAACATAACTACATTTTCATAGCTCTAACTTTGTATTTCAACCACAACACAAGAGGATAAAAAACTAGCTTGTTTAGCATTAGCTGCAATAAATTGTAAGAAACAATATTCAAGATGAATGTCAAATACAATTGCAACCTATAATCTAAAAAAAATACATCTCCAATTTCTTGTGGTTTGTAAAATACGAAAAAGTCCTTTGCCTTGTTTTCATAGGTAACAAGTAACAACTCTTGGGTGGGGTTTCATCCGAAAAAGAAATGGCTACACAATCTGCATGTTTACAACAAAATTCAAGTTCATAAGATCAAAATATTCAAAAAAACAGAAGAGAAGATTAACAAAGAAAGATTTTTACAAATTACCGAATCAGTTTTTGGCGTTTAATTTTTCAAGAAGAATTTTGTTCACAAGCCCTGGATTTGCTTTTCCCTTTGATTCTTTCATCACCTGATAATTTGGTTTAAAATGCTTAAATTATAACATTTAAAAAATAATAATATGAATTTATGAGAAGCTCAGTTTAGAGAAAAAGACCAACCTGCCCTGCAAAAAAACCTTGCAGCTTGGTTTTACCTCCACGATATTGTTCCAATTGCTTTGGGTTATTAGTAATTACTTTATCAACTATTTTCTCAATCTCAACAGGGTCAACTATCTGTAATAAATCAAAGTAACTTTTTTAATAAATAATGACACATTTTAAAAAGTCAGAACTTAATAGGGAAAGCCTCCTTTTTCAAACTTTATCTATTAAGTTGTTCTTTTTAAGTCAAAAAGAAACACAAACACCATATATAGCTTACTAGATTAAGTGTTGTATACAAAAAACTGTTTCTTTTTTGGACTGTATGAATGTGAGTAAATGACCATTTTACCCTCTTGTTTAGAAATGATATAGAACAAAGAGCTTGCCTGTACAAGATCTTTCTCTTTGATAAGTCCCTTAACAGTTCCACCCTTTTCCATAAGTTCAAGGAGTATCTGCAGAAATTTACACACAAATCTTGACCAATATCAATAAAGTTCCAATTTTTATGAACATTTACAACGATAATAAGGTATTAAACAATACTCTAGTAAAAAGACACACCTCTTTCCCTATCTTTCCACTAATAGTTGCACTTTTTATAGAAGCTATCAACTCACTTAATTCTTGAGGGCTAAGTTTTATTTCATTTATAGACAACTTTTCATTCTTCATGTATGCAGCAATATCTCCCATGATCCAGTTAGCTGCTAATTTTACATCAGGTACTTTAGCAATTGTGGCATCAAAAAAATCTGCAACCTGAAATACCCAAATACGTAAATTTAGACAGTTGACAGTTGACAGATGACAGATAATGACTGACTGATGTCAATGAGACAAAGATTGCAAATCTAGTCCCGCCTAAAAAGGTGAGACATGGACTTGGTCTTAATATCTTGTTTGTGTAAAAAGACGTTAATGCCCTTCTTATCCTTATGACATACATTCACATCATTGGCAAGAAAAAGGACATCTTGCATGCTTAAACCCATTTCCTCATATCTTCTTCTTTTCAATTCCGGAAGCTCAGGTAAGGAATCACGGATTCCATTGACATATTCTTCTGTGAATATAACTTCTGGAAGATCGGGTTCGGGAAAATATCGATAATCTGCAAGTCCTTCCTTTTTCCTCATTGTAACTGTTTTCTAACAATAAGAGCATAGAAAAAAGATAAGCACTCTAAAATGACCAAAATGCCCCTAATGAGCAAGAAAACATGTTACAAATACAATACCTGAGCTCCTTCTTCCCATAGACGTGTTTCTTGTACAATTTCCTCAGCTTGCCCTTGGTTATATAATGCTGCTTGTCTTGCAATCTCAAAATCAATAGCTCTACTCATTGCTGAAAATGAATTCAGATTCTTTATCTCCACCTATCATTCAAAAACCATGATGAGGGAGGGCATTTACGTCTTTTGCACATACAAGATTCTTTATTTGGGTTTTTGTAAAAAGCTGCAATTTTTATCCTGTACTGTATAACAAACGGGGCCCAAGATCTTTTCTAGATGATCTTCATTTTACCTTGATATTTAACATAATGAAGAAGAAAAAGGGAAGTATTTTATAATTTTATAATTTATATATTTATATTTATACCTTGGTGCCAAATTCTAATTGGCCAATTGGACGAATGGAAACATTGACATCACAACGAAGTGATCCTTCTTGCATATTTCCATTACTAACCCCCAAATATCTCACTACCCTTTGTAATTCTGCAGCATATTCTGCAGCCTCAATTCCAGTTCTCATATCAGGTTCAGAAACTATTTCAAGTAAAGGTACCCCTGCTCTGTTCAAATCAACCTGTTTCCAACAAACAAATGTAAAATAGTAAAAAAATTACCAAACTATCCCTGACTTTAAATAATCACCTGAGAATAACTCCTGGATCCCGTGTGAAGAAGCTTCCCTGCATCCTCCTCCATATGAACCCTAGTAATCCCAAACCTTCTATGCCCTCCACCAAATTCAAGTGGAAGATCCAAATCAATGAACCCGTTTGTAGCAATTGGAATATCAAATTGTGAAATTTGATACCCTTTAGGAAGATCAGGATAAAAGTATTGTTTCCTATCAAATTTTGAATTCAAAGACAACTTGCAATTGAGTGCAACACCAAGCATCACTGCATACTCTATCACTTTGGAATTCAAAACGGGTAAAGCACCGGGTAAACCCATACAAACGGGGCAAATACATGAATTTGGTTGTGACCCGTAACTGTAAGCACAGCTACAAAAGGCTTTTGTCATTGTTGCCAGCTGGACGTGTGTTTCTATACCGATGATTGCTTCATAATCTTTTAGTACTTTTTCAACCGCTTTTGCTCGAGGTGTTTCTGTGAAGTTTGAGTGAGTTTGTTGTTTTGTTTTTGTTGTGGTTGTTGTTGTTTCGGTTTGTGTGTTTTGCATTGAACAGAAGAAAACGTGTTTTCTTGTTATGAAGGTGGAGGGACGTGGTAATAATGGGCGAGATTGAATGCCTCTGAATAGTGTAAGAGCCATTAAACTGTTGTTTAACTAATTCAATTGGTTTGAAACAAGACAACGTATCTGCAGAGTATCAAATTAACACATAATCAATCACACTGAAGAACAATTAGTGTAAAACTACACAAAATCCACAAAACTTGAGGTGGAATTATACCATTTGAGTCGTGTTTTCGAAGATGCGATAGCGAATTAGCAATAACTTGAATTAGATGTTAAATTTGAAGCATACCCAAAAGGGGATTTATGTTGAAATTAAAACCCTTATTGCATTGGAAATCTTGCTCGTAATAGCATGAACATTCAAGATTTTTTTGATGAGTTTGTTTGGGAAGATTCAAGATGATATGTAAAGCATCAAAGGTGTTTACTTTACCTAATTAGAACTCAAACGAACTCTGTCGATGCAATGAACATCCCGACAATGATTGTATTAGAGCTATCTTTCACATCCCCGAATACCAAAATCCTCCAAAGAGATTCAACCGTCAGTTTATGAGTGAGGTTTTGATAAGTTTTGTGGAACGGCTGTGACAAGTGACAACGTAGGAAAGAATCGAAAGATGATAATGTCAAATTTTAATTACATATAGTATGAGTGTTCAGAAGAGACATCAAAGTGGTCGTGCCGGAGTGGTTATCGGGCATGACTAGAAATCATGTGGGCTTTGCCCGCGCAGGTTCGAATCCTGCCGACCACGACTTTTTTTTAACGCAAAGTGCGAGGGGAAGAAGTGCGATCTCAAAAAGTTGCGAGGGGTTTTTTTTTTTACTCAAAGTGCGAACTCAAAAAGTTGCGAGGGGTTTTTATAAACATATTGCTTGCAAGTTTCAATAATTCAACTCCCGATTCATCTTTTTGATAACATGAAATGAGGATGACGGAGAGGTTGCAGCAATGGGGTGGAAGAGCGATGTCGAGATTCTCCTTTAGAAATGCCACCATCGTCGTCTGTTTCTTGAATTTGATCACTGCCTTGTTTTTGATTCACTGCTTTCTATCTCCTCCCACCTCCAATGGACCCGATTCAGGTGCATTTCACTTAGTTCACCTCTCTTTAATATAGGATTCCATTTATACTTAGATTACTGTGTATTAGTAATAAATTAATCCTTTTTTTTTTGTTCCCATTACTTCATTCCTATTGATTGCTCAAAACCCCCTATTTTGTTGGCATAATTGTCACTTTCTATGTTTTAGATTTTGGGGTTTAGGTCATATGATGTTACTAATTCTTTGTTGAGAACGTATCTTCAAAGCATCTGATAAAGTTGCCTTTTGAAATTTAGTTCTGCTTAAGTATGTGAAGGAATCTGAAGAACTACGTCGTGCCATGGAACCTGTAGAACTTATAAAAAGAGTAAGTTTTGAGTTTCTATGTGAATAAGTTTCAGTTGAATTAGATTATAGAGATAATTGCAGGAAATAATCAACTCTTTTCATAATCATAGCATCAAACTTGACATTTTCTACTGCTTTCATTGTTGCTAAAAAAGTGATAGTTCGTTGTTATTTCCTGCAAATATCCCTACGATTATCCTCAAATCATGACTCCATCTAATGGGTGTGTTGATATTAGATGATCTTGAATAAAAACGACAGATTGAGATTTATTTTCCGTAATGTGAATTTATTTTTATTGGAAAATGGAAAATAGGTTAGAGAAATTGAGAGAGAAGGTCATGAAGAAGTAGAAACTGTTCAAGAAAAAGATGCGAAACAATCTGCTGCACTTGATTTGATATCTAGGCTGAACAATCATCGCTCCTATTCAGATGCCGATAACCAAAAAGGTAATTACTTTACTTTCTTGATTTCACAAAATAAATTTAGTAAAATTCTAAGTTATATTTTCAAGAAAGATATATACTTTGACTTATGAACTTGTGTTCACTTTATATCTTTTTCAGCTCTAGAGGAATGGCGTAAACGAAAGATGGAAAGAGCAAGACAACGAGGCCTTGGTAAAAATGGAACCACCAATTCTCAAGAATGAACTCTTTGTTCCAAACGAGTTTTTAAGCTCTCATGGAAACAAATAACTTTTTTTTAGTAAAGTTTTTGCATAGCGAATTTGTGTAATGGTGTCTTTTTGTAACAAGTGTGAGTTTTTTGTATGATTGAATATACGTTTATAAGGAGGTAATAGTTGTTTATGCAATGGTGTGTCACCTTTTTTTAAACCTATAAAACAAACTTGTTTTTAAGACAAATGATGTGACCATGTTTCATTCTAGGCCTAAAATATGCACCTACATCTCACGGGTATTAACAAAGTTGAAATTTCTATGAGAGTCATTTCCACCAACGGAGGAAAGTAGAGTCATTTTAACATGGCGGTTTAAACGGACCAAATTTTTTGTATTCGGATGTTCTTTCCACGGGATTAATCAAAAACAAAATCGCCATTCATAAACTCTTCATCTGTATGGATTTTGAAAATATTTACCCCTAATGTGAAACTTTCCAGATTGCAACATGGACAATTTCAATATCATTTTCTAGTACCATGATCATTAAATGAATTTTGGTTGATAATAATACTAGTCTTGATGTCAATGCTAGTGGCATCCACTGATAGACATGCACAAAAAGACTGGTCTCGACCGAACCAATCTAAAACGAGACTGGACCGAAAACAGAACGGCCTGAGACCATCCGGGACTAGTAAAAAAACGGACTGTTCCGAGACCTGTCCCAATAGGTCCAGTTCGAGACCGTTCTCAAAAAAAAAAAAAAAAAAAATGGAAGGCAAAGTTTATAAATATATTATTTTGTGTTAATTATACAATTTTAAATCACATTATCTAACTTCTTTCTTTTCTCTTTTATTAAATTTTAGTGTATCATTTTTAATAAATGTTAATTATATATTTTGATGTTAATTATATATTTGTTAACGGGAAAACTCGAAACCGAAAAAGACGCATGGAACGTCTGTGAGACCGAACCAAAAAAGACCGAGACCAATCCCAAAAAGACCTAAGAAAAGACCGGTCCGAAAAAAGGCCGGACCGGACTGTTCTGAGACCGATTCAAAAAAGACGATTAAAAAAAAAACAAACTTTCAAAACTGACCCGAGACTGGTTCGGTACCGCAAATATACATCTCTATCTGGTGATGTTTTAGACCCGATATTTATTGGGGCTTCCACAATATTTGGGTTAACTAATGTGTTTGTAGCCTAACTTTTAAGGGGTGTTACAACTTGTAAACCCAAGTAGGATGAGTATTCCACAAATGCTTGTTCTAAGTAAATATTCCCCTCTTGTTTTTGGGCAAATGATGTGGCCACATGATAACATGGATATTGCACAAACCCTTGTCGGGAAATATACCCTCTTGCTTTTTGCAGAATGCATGTGGCAACATACAAGTTAAAACTGATCTCATTTAAAGACAACTCCTAGATTCTAGACTATTCCATCCCTATAAATACCTTTCATACGTGTTTATAGAGTCCTTCACAGTTTGGATAAAACCAATAAAAAACAAAGTGTTCAGTTTAAACAATTTGGATGAAACTATATGGTTATATGGTCATATGATATTTAGATTTTGGATTCTTTACACAAAAACCGAATTAATATCTTAAATTTCATATTGATTTTGGTTATTAAAATAAAAGGAAATAATCAAATAAACTGAAATGACCATTTAAGCGTGCATTTAACCGAATTAGTAAAGTTGAGTAAGTTGACTTTGTGGAATTTAGCAAGTTTATTACATGCATACTACCAACTTATATCAAGAACCAAAATGACCATGGATTGTCTGCTCCACAAAAAAAAATGGTTTCAAGGAAGCGTTAAACTCTTGAGTATACTAAGGAATTCTAAAAGGGCAAATGTCATATTAGCCCATCGAACTTTTGACGTTTTTTTTAAAAGGTCACTAAACTATTTTTTTTTGCACATTAAAGGAATATACTTTCATTTGACCGTTTTAAAATACCCTTATGTAACCTTTTACCGGGTTGAAAGGTAATGTACATGCCACGAGGGAAAATGTCGGTGACACGCCATTTAATGAAATGGCCACGTGTGGTACACTTATATTAATTTGTTATAAAATACCCTCCCCCTCATTGAAGAAACCCCTCCTTATTGAGAAAACCCTCGTCCCACCATAGTAACTGAAGATCGATGGCTATATTCCTCTCAATCAAAGTTCATTTCCAAGGTGTGTTCATCAACAAACCTTTTTGCTATTCTGATGGTGTTCATCATGTGTTCGACAACGTCGATTTTGCTAGTATGTCATATAATGAGTTTGTGGGTTTTCTTGAACGATTCACACAAGAGAAGTGTGAGAAACTTTATTATTGTCAACCCGATTTACAAATTCCAGAAGGTTTAACCTTGATTTCAAATGAACTTCAATATCAAGAATTTATAGACATTGCTTATCAATGTGGAGTACAAGTTCTTGTTTACATGGACCATTTTGGTACTACTGTGCACGTAAGTAAGGCAAATGAAAATGATAATGAGGATAATTGTTCTGTGAAGTCAAACATGTCAATCGAAGGGGAAGAAGGTATTGACCTAATTGACTTCATGAGTCCACAAGAAAGCAACATGGAAGGAGTAACCTATGAAGGAGTAAGTCAGGAAAATGGAAATGAGGAGGTCACAGAAGGTGATCCAAAAGATGATGAAGATGATAATGTCCCAGATGTGAAAGGAAAACCGATGTTTAATGAAGACATACCTTAGAAGAAGCAGTTGCCAATTCTAGGTATGAGGTTCACCAACCCTCAACAATTAAAATTTATGATTTGTAATTATGCTGTAGCAAATGGGTATCAATTGTACTTTGAAAAAAACGACAGTAAAAGGTTATTGGTTAAGTTTAGTACTGGTCAATGCACATTTAGGCTGTGGGCATCATGGATGAGTGAGGATCAGTCATTCCAAATCAAGTCCCTTATCATTGACCACAATTGTGCAAGAAATTTTAAGTTAGGGTCAATTGTCAATTACAGATGGATTGGTAGTCATTTCACCAGGGAAGTTCTTGAGAATCAGAAATTCAATGTTAGGATGTTAAAGGAGGAAGTAAAGACTAAATTTGGCATAGAGGTTAGTATGGGACAATGTAGGAGAGCTAAGCAACATGCAATGTCTCTTGTTGAAGGTACCATAGTGGAAAATTATGCAAAGTTGTGGTCCTATGGTGAAGAGATAAAAAGGTCTAATCCAGGGTCAACAGTCAAGTTGTCTGTGAACTCTATGCCAGATGGGAAAACTTACTTTAGCAGGATATATATATATATATATATATATATATATATATATATATATATATATATGTTTTCATGCACTAAAGGAGGGTTGGAGAAGTGGCTGTAGAAGGATAATAAACTTAGATGGGTGTTTTCTAAAAGGAATGTGTACTGGTCAATTATTATGTGTTGTTGGTAGGGATGATAACAATCATATATACCCAATAGCTTGGGCTATAGTTTGTGTTGAAAATAAAGACAACTAGAAATGGTTCTTAGAAAACTTGCAAGAAGATCTGTATCTTGAAGGTGGGTTTGGTAATACATTGATGTCAGATCAACATAAGGTATGTTTCTACTTTATAATGCCATACCTAATTTCTTTCAAATGTGATATACTTCTGAATATTATGATGATGTAAATGCAGGGGATAATTGAAGTAGTTAAAGATTTATTTCCAGAGATAGAACATAGGCAATGTTCCAGACATGCTCTTTCCAATTTCAAGAAGAAATTCCCTGGGGCTCAATATGAAAAATTATTTTGGAAGGCTTGTAAAGCCTCAACTGAACCTCTTTTCAATTCTGCAATGAAAGAGATTCAAATGATTAGCCCTGCTGCTTATGTGCATCTTATGGGAAGGAATCCAAACTCATGGTCAAGAGCATTTTTTCAAATAGGAAGGGGTGTGATGCAGTTGAGAATGGGTTGTCTGAAAGCTTTAACAATGTTATATTGGATGCTAGGAAGAAGCCAATTATTTCAATGTTGGAGGATATTATACTATATGTGATGCAGAGGATGTGTAGTTTAAGGCAGAAAGGAAGTGGATGGGGACACTTTGATGTATATCCAAACATAAGGCTTGCCATAAATGAATTGAAGATCCAACAAAGGTACTTTAATATTCACCATAAATCAATTGAATATCCAACCAATGTACTTTATTAGCCACTAACTATGCTTATTTGTAGGTACTGGAAAGTGCTTCCTAGTGGCCTGAATACATTTGAAACAAGAAACTTAGGAGAGTCTTATGGAGTTGATTTGGAAAAGAAAACATGTACTTGTAGGATTTGGCAAATGAATGGGTATGGGTGTGTACACTCAGTGGCAACCATTAGTTATGTAAATAGAAATGTAGAGGCATTTGTTGATCCTTTATATCGTGCTTGCATTTATATGAACACCTACAAGTACTCAATAGGAAGCATGAATGGGACTGCAATGTGGCCCCCAACAGACTACATACCACCTTTGCCACCTTTGAAAAGGAAGATGCTAGGGAGACCAATTACTAAGAGAAAGAGGGACAATACTGAGGTTAGTGGATCACACCGAGTATCCAAGGCAGGGAAAAAGATGGTATGTGGTGTTTGTAAGAAATCAGGCCACAATAAGTCAACCTGTGATGCAGTGTCAAAGGCCGAAAAAAGTCAGGTCAAAAAAAGGAAGGCAGAAGATGAAGGTGAAACTAGTGCATTAAAGAAAGGGAAGGGTCAAGGGCAAAGGGCAAAGGGGGAAAAAAGGAAAGGGTGAAGGTGATACTGGAAGTGGAATTGGTTTCAAAACGGGAGAAGGTGAATGTGGGTCAACAAGTGGTGTGACTAAGAAGAATGGTAAAGAAGTAGGTACATTGAAATTAAGGAAAAAGTCAGAGAGGATACTAAAGAAAAAGTTGGCAAAAACGGTGAAGGTGATACATCAAGCAAACCAATGGACTTGGATTAAAGCTGTTTTGTTTTTGGAGTATGTTAGTTACAATGTAAGGTCTTTATTAAATGTGTCTTGATGTTATGGTCTTGTTTAGTTTGTTAACGTGTCTTTAAAACACCAAGTTATGACATTAATGAATGCATGGATGTATGATGTTTGTTATTCGTTTGAAACATGAATGTTAGTTTCTTTAGTTTAAAACATAACATGAATGTTTGTTTATAATTGTACTTCCAAGTTAATTCGACATAACAAATAACAATCATATAACAATGTACTTCCACATAACAATGTGGTAGCACATGGGCACATTTCATTACAAAGCATAACATCATATGCAAAGCAAAATAATTGTTATAATAAGAACTACATTTCATTTCATTCATCCATTACAACTGAGGTTATTGTCTTACCAAAACCCCCCAAAAATTTGGTTCTAAAAACCAATACATCGTCAATGGGCACCACTAGTCAAAATAACCAACAACACATAACCTAATACATACATATAATACTAGCAGATGTCGAAATTAGACAAAAACAAACAACATTCGACAACCCTGATAACCCAAAAGAGACTAATCAACATCGTGCTAGCTACGAACTAAACTACACCCACCAAAATCCCCATCCACTGCAGTCGATGCAAACACGAACCCCGATCAACGACATCACTGCAACTCCAACAACACCCATCATGCTCACTATCCTTTTCAAGTAGCGTATCTCCTCCCTAAAATCGCCAAGCTGTTGTCGCACCTCATCTCTCAATTCCTCCATCTGCACTTGGATTTCCATGACGTGAAGTTCGGAATCAGTTGGTAAGTCTAGTTCCGAAGCTCTGAAACCACCATAAGAGAAGCTTTGTTTTGAGGCCATCTCCTTGACTTATAGGTGGGAAAAAAATGAAGTCGGTGGTATTTATGTGAAGGTTACGGATCAGGATAACAAAGTGGTGGGGAAGACTGATTTAGGGGAAGACGAATTTATAAGGGGGACCATTAACGATGACTTGACAATTCTTGGGGACCAAGATTACAACAGTAATATTCCACGGTGATGCCACATGTCACGAAAATATGAGATAAACCTTTTACAATCGATAAAATGATGTAATTAAACGGTCAAATGAAAGTATATTCCTTTAATGTGCAAAAAAAATAGTTTAGTGACCTTTTAAAAAAAACGCAAAAACTTTGATGGGCTAATATGACATTTGCCCATTCTAAAATTGGTTTCTTCCTTAAATTCTATGGCTGTTGTCATTTGGTGAGCCCTAGTGATACACTACTTCATGTTGGTTACCAAATGGTATGAGTAATTGGCCTTAAAATAAAGACTATTATTCAATGTTGGTTGTTGCTGCTGTCTTTTTCCTAGATATCCTCTCCATTGGGCCTAGTTACCTCTTACAGTCACTTAGATATTGCCCATCAGGTGTTTTGGTGTTGCTTTTAAATTCCTATGTATTTTCTCTTTGTTCTTATGTATCTGTATTCTATTTTCTATTTTCTGTAACTGTCCCAGCTTAGGAGCTGGTTCTTTCTAATATATATATATATATATATATATATATATATATATATATATATATATATATATATATCCAGCCATTCAAAAAGAAAAAGAAAAAAGAACCGAAATGACCATTTAAGCGTTCATTGATTCCATCTCTATACACAATCTACAAAATTATATATTAATTTGTACAAAAATAAAAGCCAAAACAACATCAACAAGGGTATAAGATGTAGTTTTTTAAGTCATCTACACTTGATATGTATTATATATAAACTTCATAGGTACACAAAATTTGCTTCTTTAATGGCAATTTCAATTTTCAAGTTTGGAGATGCATGCATCATTTCCCATCTTGATGAGCCTCCTATGTTATGCATTTCAAAAACCAAAAGCCAAAAGAGAAAGGAGCTATAGTTTTAATATAGACAACCTAATTTGGAAATAGATACCCTTCCTTATATAGTGGAAGAAGATGAGATGTGATATGCATTTGGAAACCGAGATGCAAAATTTTAGCCAACTTATCATCTTCTTTATACCATCTACAAAACACAAGATTCAAATGAATTAAGCAAACATATTGATTAAATTAAAAGAAGTTGTGAATATTTAACTTAGAAGTTGTTTCTTTTTTTACTTAATGGGCAAAACACTTAATCTGGACGCCTATACATGTATGACTTATTGGGTTAAGTCAAAAAACCTGACTTAATGTATTAAGACACTAAGGGTGCGTTTGGTTGTGAAATTTTTTTCAGTTTTCTAGGAAAATTTTCCAAGAAAAACGGAAATTTTGAAAATGCGTTTGGTTCGTTCAGTTTTCCAAATTTTTCTAAGAAAATGAAAATTTTCAGTTTTCCAAATTGTATGTAAATTATAAAAGTGATTTTTACAGTTTTCCAAATTTCTAAGATGTAAAATGAAAACTCCACCAGTTCCAACCAAACGCGTTTTTTAAAATTTTTATTGAACTTTGAAAATGAAAACTCAACTCTATTTTCTGAAAACATTTTCTTAGAAAATGAAAACAGTTTTCCACAACCAAACGCACCCTAAGAGTGCGTTTGGTTGCGGAAACTTTTCTAGTTTTCCGTGAAAAAATTCAAATGAAAATTTTGAAAAAGTGTTTGGTTGATTCGGTTTTCAAAAAAATTTCCAAGAAAATGAAAATTTTTTGTTTTCCAAATTGTATGTAAATTAGAAAAGTGAATTTTACAATTTTCCAAAGTTTTCTAAATTTCTAAGATGGAACATGAAAACTCCTACGGTTCCAACCAAACGTATTTTCTAAAATTTTCATTGAAAACTGAAAATGAAAATTCAATTCTATTTTCTAAAAACATTTTCTTGAAAAATAAAAACAGTTTTTCACAACCAAACACACACACCCACCGGCCCCACCCCACCCTTACCCACTCCCACCTAACCCTACCTACCCCACACCCACACCCACACCCACCCCTAACCACCATCCCACCAACCACCCCCTATTTAAAATAACAAAAATTGGAAATGAAAGTTGATAAAAAATACACAGCCAAACACGTTTTTAACTTTCTAAAATGTGAAAATGAAAACTCAAAAGTTTTAACCAAACGCATTTTCTAAATTTTCTACTGATAACCGAAAATGAAAATTCCATTCCTTTTTTTGAAAACTTTTCCAAGAAAACTGTAAACTGTTTTCCACAACAAAACACATCCTAACCTTTCACCTATTCAACTATTTTCCCTTCTTCTTTGCTCCTCCCAACTCCTCTCACATTAAAACCGATAAATATTGTTAGTATTGTGAACTTTGTTTTTCGGAATGCAAGGGTAAAATGGTCATTTAGGGGCTGTTTTTTTCTCATCAAGTCTTGCATGAGTAAAATGGCTGAACATGTGATGATGTCTCTCTAAGTTAATATAAGGTTGTTTTCTTTCCTTTCTGATAAACCATCCGAGACTAAATGACCACTTTACCCTTACATTCACTGATTTTAATGAGAGGTGAGTTGGGAGGAAAAAAGAAGGGCAAATAGGTAAAAGGGTAAAGTATCTTGATACATAAAGCAAGGTTTTTTTGGCTTAACTCATTCTATCAAAGGTTAAGTGAAAAAAGAAACAATCCATTAAAAAACCCATAAATATTTAACTTAGTTACAAAGATAAGAAATAATTGTTACCTCATAAACGATGAAAGTCACTGGATCTGATCTGAGATATACACAAAAAAGCAAAAGAACAACTTGAGACATATTTCTTAGTTACAAATGGGCAATTTTTCTGTCCATTCACCAGCTGCACCATAATCAAGACTAAGCTCCCTCAATGGAGGAATATCTTCCATAGCAAACAACATAAGATGAGGAAACCCAAAATTTGCATGATCAAACAACACCAATTGCACAAAAACATTCGGACATGAACTATGGCTCATGTAACAAGCAACATTTCTCATTCTAGAAACATCCATTGCAAATTCCAATTTTGGTGCAGATGGGTATGAAGGGCGGATATAATCTTGAAAAACTTGTGACAAATCTCCCCATTCTGCCCATCTGTCACCAAAACGGAAAGGATAGACTAAACTATCCTCTCCGTTCATTGTGAATACCTGGGCTTGTTCTCTGGTGAGAACAACCCCAGTGTATTCACAGATAAAAGATCCAGCTTGGATCAAATCCAATGACCTAACTCCCCAACCCGTTTCCATTGACCTAAACACTTCAAATCTATTCTTTACACCTTTTTGTGTTACACGATTCCAACAAGTAGGTGGGCATGAACAGAAGGGCCCACATTCGAATATTATCGGTTTTCCTCTTAACAAAATCCCATTTAAATCATAAGCGAATTCACCCCCATTCTTTTTAGCACAAACACAATCAGGTCTACACCCAGATACACAACCACACCCTTCGCCTTTCCCTGAAATCTGATAAATGAAAGGAGGGAAAACAGTTCTTACCAGATACTCGTAGTTCATTGGCTCAGAGTTATCATCAATGTCATTGAATAAGAAAACTGGGGTGTTTTCTTTTTTTGATGAAATGTCGAAACTGTAATACCCTAAAGGTCGAGCTTCCTTTGGATTGGTTTTGATGTTTTCTGCAAACTTGAGTAATGAACTCCCCATTTCTGGTTGATCTTCCATTCTAACAAGTTTGAATTTGTATACTCCAAAACCAGATTTGCCCATTTCAAACCAGGATTCAGTGATTTTATAGAGTCCATCATAAACATAAATTTTATCGCTTGCTCCACCTTTGTATTTCAACCCACGAACAACTCTTACCTCAATTCCATAATGCATGCTTCTTTCCATAGCAAGGTTTCCCCCTACTAATCTTTGATGAACAACTTGCTTTGAGTGCTTATCTTGTCCACCGTGACCTGTGTATACGATAACATCGCCACTGTCTTCATCATCTTCGTACCCACCGGAGACAATCACACTGGTGGCAATTGGTTCCCCATTTGAGCTGTGGCTCGACCTTAAGTAATCAATTCCGGCTTGAATTTGACCATGGATGCCTAAAACGCATAACTCTGTTCTAAAATTGAATACATCACCAACGTAAATCCCTGGAATTGCACCAACGATACGTTTCTCACGATTCAACCAGAGATCGTTGGTTTTCATCAGTGCAGCAGCTTTCAGATCGCCCCGGACACGGACGACGCGTCCTTCGACATTAGAACGACGCTTCTCGTCTTCCAACATAATGAAAAAATACAGAGAATCAAACAGCATCCTTGTTTTCCTTACCACCTCTCGAAAGTACCTCTCGTCTGCGATTTCAAGGTTCGTCACCCTGACTAACTCAGCCGACCGCTGAGACTTCCGGCGAGATGGAAAATCGACGATTGAAAGCTCGTCTTCTTCAGGAACCAGCACAAGCGCTAGTGCATCAGGATCCAAAGGAACATCGTCATTTTCCTCCACGTTAATCACCGATTCGGTCTGAGACATCCCCCAACTGCCATTGAATTCAGACTGAAGACTGTTCACACCGGATCGGGGTACTGAAAATGTAACATCGGAGTCAGTTACTGGGGCACTCAGACCGAAACTAGAGATAGGGTTTTGAGATTTATCGGGTTCAGGTGGAACTTCTGGTGTTTCGAGTTTAGGCTCAGTTTTGGGGGTGATGAAGATTGCAGCAGTAGAAGTTCTACCGCCACTCCCGCCAGCGCTGCCGCTGGTGGTGGTGATGGTAGGGGTCGTAGAATGATCGGGGTAATCAATCCCGGAGCCCATTTGTTGTTGATCGAATCAAAACAGAGCTGGTAGAAATGAAATTAACGATATAGATTATGTGGAAGATCTACAGAGAGGTGTGATGTGTTCATGGCGAATCTGTCAGATCAGCGAGAACTTAGCAGGCATGATGCATATATATCACAGTGTTATAAAACGTGACGACTGTTGTAACGTTTGTATTAAGGGGAGTGTTTGGTAGCGGACATATAATAAGATAGGGGGATATATAGGACCCAACAAATGCTAATATGTAATATGTTTTCGGTAAAATATGATAGGAACTTAAAAATATGGAATGATAACATAGATACTAAATAGAGATATAAAAAAGAGAGTTCTCAAAATTAGTTTAATGGTTTGAAATTTCCTGTTTTAGAAAATATTGAAATATTTAGTAGGTCTATGATGATAATTATCACATGTGAAATAAATAATTTTTAAATAAACTTGAAAACGAACTTAGACTAGACTAACTACCGGTCACAATAAATTTGAGAGTGAACGAAAAATTATTGATTTTCGACAAGTTAGAATATATTTTGAGAGTCAGTGAGACAATTAAGTTTTTGAGTGAACAACATAACAATGATTTGGTGTAACTTTGATGTGAATTAGTTTAAAATTTTAACATGTTTACATAGAGAAGATTATATTAGATATTTGATAAAGTGTTAGACGAGTGTTATAGAGATTATAGTATATATGTGAAACATTATTAGATGAATGGTATATGAGATAATAAAGATGTGATAAAGTATTAGATGAGTGTTAGGTGAGATAATAAAAAAATCGAGATAGATAGAGTGGAATAATAAAGATGTGATAAAGTGTTAGATGAGTGTTAGGTGAGATGATAAAAAACCGAGATAGATAGAGTGAGATAATAAAGATGTGATAAAGTGTTAGATGAGATAATAAAAAACCGAGTTAGATAGAATGTTAATCAGATAATAAAAGAGTGAATTATATATAATATTAGATGAATGTTAGTTGGGTGTTAGGTGAGATAATTAAAAGCCTAGTTAGGTAGAGTGTTAGGTAAGATGATAAAAGACCGAATTAGATAAAATATTGGGTCAGTGTTGGTAGGGATGAACAGTTTGTCCCAAATCCCGATCCCGTACCGGTACCGTACCGAAACAGATACTGAATTTGAAAATATGGGACGGTACTCGGTACTCCAAATACATGAAATTCGGTGTACCGGTACTAGTACCGAAAACCGGTACCATTCCTAGTAATGGTACCGGTGATGTTAATTCGGTTCGGTACTCGGGATTGACTTTCGATAAAATTCGGTTTTCGGAAAATTGGAAACGGTATGGGTCGGTACCGGTTCTGTGCCATGTTCATCCCTAAGTGTTAGTAGATGTTACATGAAATAATAAAAGTCTAAGTTAGATAAAGTGTTAAGGCTCTTAAGTGAAATAATAAAATATCGAATTAGATAAAATTTATATTTATATATCTACCTATCTATTTATATTTATATATTTATTTTTATCTTTATCTATATCTATATTTATAAAAATCTTATAAAGAAGGTCAACCAAATCAACCTGGATTTATCTTGAACCACATTAATTTGATTTTTTTTTTCTAATTTGCCCCGCATTGTTTTACACATATATCTAACGTTTCATTTTTCCCCTATATAATATGACTATTTTGTTTATCTTATCATTCAATCTTAGGCTACCCCGTTGATAATATATGACGAGCCGCTCACCATTTTTTCATTTTAAAAAAAACATTGTGATATTATTGGCGGCCTTGGCCACCCCACCGATCTAAGCTCACAAGGGATTACTAAAATTTCTTTTGCCACATGTTTAATATTGAATGGCTCGTTATATATTTTTTTGGATAAGAATTATTATCATTAAAATTCCAAACTTATCTCGGTCAAAAAAAAATTTTAAAAATATTAAAATTCATGATTTTTTTCTCTATAAATAGAGTATAATATTGACATAGTTCATATCTCATCTTAACTCTTCATTTCTAAACCCTTTGATTTCTTTGATACCATGGATTCAAAGTTCGTTTTAAATATTGACGATTTTCAAGATTATCAAAACTTTCAAGGCTATGAAAGCTCTCAATTTTTCCAAATCTCAATCAATTACTAAATATTGAAACCTCACAAAATGTTGGAAGAAATGCAAGAGGCGATAAATATGATGTTGATGGAGATGTCACATTAATGTCAGCATATTGTATCGTTAGTAAAGATAAGTGTCGTGGAAAAAAACATAAGAAAACATCAATATGGGCATAAGTGAAGGAGCTATATGATGCAAATCAGACGGAAAACTCAGAAAGCTTGGTAACAAGAACATAGCTTAAATGAAAGGTCATTATAAACGCTTAATGAAAGTGCCTGTAAATGGGTTGGTATTTACCGAGAAGCATATAGAAAAAGAAGTGGAATGAGTATGAAAGATGTTGAGAATGAAGCTCATAAATTATATGAGACAAGTGGAAACAAGTTTAATGACACAATTTTTTTTAATGAGGTTATGTGTAAACATTGAGAATGAGATTTACAACTAGATCATGACACAACACGATCACGTCCAAAATATGAAGTGGGTGATGAAGAAAGTGGTTGTAGCACAAAAAGATCAAGGAGTACGGAAGAAGGGGACTATTTTGTCCAATCCAACACAAAAGCGCCAAATAGTGCTGGTTCAACAATTAAACGTCCAACGGGTAGAGATGCAACTAAAAGAAAAGAAAAAGGTAAGTCCTCTAAGGAAACTGATGAAGAACTTCATGCAATGAGGCTTAGTAGAGATAGTGAGGTAGAAATCATGAAAAAAAGACTTGACTTGAATCAACAAAAGGTGAAAAAAAAGGAATAAAGGAAGAAAAAAAAACAAATGAGAGTGAGCTAATGAAGATGCAACTTGTGCATTTGAACACACTCCTACAAAAAGAGCCCTTATCACCTGACGAAGAAAACATGAAAAGCTTTCTAATGTCGAAGTTTTATGGAAACTAATTACATTTTAGTGCATGTTTTATTTTCATTATGATTTTCATGTATTTGTAAGATATTTTATTATGTATTTGTATCTCATGCTTTTAATGTATTTGTAACATATTCTATCTTGTATTTGTAATATATTTTTAGTGTGCTTTTATTGAATGCATAATTTGTTGGATTAAGGTGTCTAAGCTCATAACTAAATTTGTGTAAACTTGAAAATAGAAGCAAAGTCCTTTTGGGTTGCCCTCATAACCAGATGTAGCTAGAAATGATATTAGGAAAGAGAGAGAAATGTTTTGTTAATATATTATGTGATTAATATATTAACTGGGAATAGTTAATTGAATGTTAATTTGTTATGTCATTAATAAATTAACATAAGATCAATAGTTAAATAATTAATTTGTTAGTTTAATATCGTTAATAAATTAATAAGAAATAAATTAGAATTAATTAATTATTAATCAGAATTAATATGAAATTAACTTGGGATTAATTGGAATTAAATAAATGTGCAAGGGTGAATTGTAATTATTCAATGGTTGAACAAAAGAAGCAATTATAGAAACCTCCATGGCATAGACGGTTTTGGAGGCTCCTCTAGGGTTTCTGGAAGCCTCCTGGTTGCATCAAAGGAAAGGATTTATATTAGGACTAAATCTATTATTTAATCAATTCAGATTCTGCTTTGCTTATAAGTTACCTAAATTAAAAATAGGACCCTAAGGCCATAAATTTTGGTTCATGACCTTCCTAAGAAGCATAGGAATGGAATTTATTCATCTCTCCTCTCTCTCCTCTTCATTTTATGATTTTTAGGGTTTTGAGTGTGAGCCATTAGAAACATTAGATTTTTGGTGCTTGTTTTCCAAAGTTTTCAAGAAGGATATTGGTGTGATTATTTGCTACAATAATCAATATGTATGTAAACCCTAACTATATGTAAATTTCAATTATTATAGAGTTCCCTTAGGGTTTTTGATGTTCATAGGTTATTGCTATCAATAGAGAAAACTTAGATACAAATAGGTTGCATGTGAACTTAAAGGTTAAGTTTTTCCATCACATGTTTTAATTATAAGTTATTACTTATAAAACTCATCAGTAGTAAAAAGTCTCTACCTTGCTCACTAGTTTGATTAGATCTCATTTTATGGAGTTTTGGGGCTTATTCCATCTTCCTTGAGGCTTTAAGTGTACCAAGTGATTGAGACTTCAGATCTGGACCATGTGAGGTCCCTAGAGTCCAAAGGTCCCAGCTTTATCCAGGTAATAGGAGAGCTTTTATGATTAAGACCATAAATGGAAGTTATTTTGGCATTTCAAGCCCTAAGTGCCATGCATGGACGTAAAGCTTGCAACTTTACGTGATATATTATCCTTGGGAGGTTAGATCTAGAGTTTGGGGTTATGAATCTGCCTTAAAACGTCTGAATGAGAATGGAGACTTAAGGGACTCGCCGAGTGGATGAGCCAACTCGACGAGTCGGCTAGGGTTTTCCCCGATGAGTCTGGACATGAGTAACTCGGCGAGTTGATGAGACAACTCGACGAGTTAGGTTTAGTTTTCGCGACTTTTCTGAAGGAACAAGGGGACTCGACGAGTCACATAGGTGCACTCGACGAGTCGGGTCAACATGGACTGTTGACTCGAGTGTTGACTTCAGTTGACTTTAGGGTTTGGTCAAGACAGGGATTATTGAGACCATGGAGGGGTAGAATGGTCTTTTACCCATTCCAAGAGTTAGAGAGAGAGAGAGAGAATAGCCTTTGGTTTACTTAGAGTTGTGATTTAAGTGCTAATTAGAGATAATTATTATATGCGTTAGGCGAAGGCTAGATTGGTGATTCATGTACGAGATTTATTTGCTTGCTTACGAGGTGAGTCTTCTCACTATACTTACCTTGAGTGGTAATTTGTGTGACTGGAGGGTCTTGTATGCTTATATTGAGTATTGTGATATCCTGCAATTATGTCTTTGTGATTTATGTTGTGTATTAT